TGTATAAATATATTCCTAAAATTTTGAAATGATTGATAAAGTATTTTGTTTAATATAAATTTCCAAAAATCACCCCTTAATAAAAGTTCCAGAAGTTGTCTGTGGTAGAAAGTAAAAGAAAAGCTTATATAATATGATAAACTGGTAAAGTTGTAATTTTTTAAAAATACTTTTGTTTGTCGAAGAATGTTGTAATTTTGATATTTCATACTTTAATATGTCTACTTCAACAACAAATATTAAAATCAATGACTTTTTTAAGAAATTTTCGGGAGTTTTGCATTCTTGAGAACAAAGTGATTATTATTATTTATCTCTCAATATTTTCATTTGCTCGTCAGTAGTGTCCTTTTGTCCTAATATTTTCATTTGCTCGTCAGTAGAGTACCTTTTTTCCCTTGTGTTTTTATTTGCTCGTCAGTAGAGTCCCTTTTGTCCTAATATTTTCATTTGCTCGTCAGTAGAGTCCCTTTTGTCCTAATATTTTAATTTGCTCGTCAGTAGAGTCCCTTCTTTCTCTTTGTATTTTAATTTGCTCGTCAGTAGAGTCCATTTTTTTTAACATTTTTATTATGCTTGTCAGTAGAGTTCCTTTTTCTTACAATATTTTCAATTTGCTCGTCAGTAGAGTTCTTCTCCCAATCATTACAAATTGAATGTTATTTAGATCATTAAAATCGGCTGATCCGTTCTCTCAAAAACTCGATTTGTATTTTCTACACTCATTGCTCCGTATCTCCGTAACGGCTGGACCTGCCTTTGCCAAAAACTAATCAGCATATCTCCCTATCAATAGACAAACACTCACATCCATTTTTTCTGAGGTATGCCTCTTAAAAATGTTCAGAAACCTTTAAAACGTCGAGAAATGCAAAAATTTTCATTTTCGATTTTCGGCCCATTGCTATAACTTACCCTACGAGAAGTTAATACTAAAAGCGATGACATTTCCCCAGAAATTTTCAAGATTTTCGCTAATGAAAAAATTATAACAAACAGATAAATTAGCATTACAAGTCCTAATTTCAAAATTTGTTGTATAATTCATTCTTTAGTTAATGCAAACTTTGTGTTGATGTGGGAAAGCTAAATAAAATATTATAGGCATGTGACAAGTTTTACTACACTTTGTAGCATAACAAATGCAAATATCTTGGAAGTTTCTGAGAAAACTTGTTGATTTTAGTATTTACCCAATTTTTTTCTCTTTTTTTTCAGGGAGTTCCACTACGGCCCCGACACGAACGAAATAGCCCCCGACAATTCCCCAAATGCCGGGGGGGCCCAAAGAAAGGCTACGCAGCCCCCGGATTCGACTTTCAAGAAATTGGCACCCTCGAAGAACAGATACACCTTACTAAGGGACGAACTTTAGGTAACGAATTGATTTGATGTTGAGAGACGATAGCAACAAATTTTTTATTATTAATGAATTGATTAATTTACAAAACCACCCACGATGATGATAAAGACTAGAGACAAGACGAAAGGTTTGGCTGAATATTAAAAAATTGTGTAAAGTGAGTAAAGAAGTTAATATCGAGTGATGTAAATGTAATATAGATTTATTATATATATATATTTATATTGATAGCACTTTAATATAATTTCAACAAAAGTTCGAGTTTTTACAACAATTTAGTATCACGTGTTTGTTATTTTGTTGATTTTATTTTGTTTATTTGAAAAGTTTTTGAGTTGTTAAAAAACTGTTGGATTTTTAGAAAACTTTGCCTTGATATGGGAAAGCTAAATAAAATATTATAGGCATGTGATAAGTTTTACTACACCTTGCGGCGTGCGAGTATATTTTTCATAACAAATGCAAAAATCTCGAAAATTTCTTTTAAAAAATCATTGATTTTAATATTTGTTGTCGAAGTAGACATATTAAAGTATGAAATATCAAAATTACAACATTCTACAACAAACAAAAGTATTTTTAAAAAATTACGACATCTTTGCCGCCACCTTACGAAGTTTTTCCTGTACTTTGTTTACAAAAAAGCAAAAATTTCGAAAATTTCTTAAAAAACTCATTGATTTTAATATTTGTTGTCGAAGTAGACATATTAAAGTATGAAATATCAAAATTACAACATTCTACAACAAACAAAAAGTATTTTTAAACAATTACAACATTCTTGCCGCCACCTTATGAAGTTTTTCCTGTACTTTGTTCACAAAAATGCGAAAATCTCGAAAATTTCTTAAAAAACTTATTGATTTTAATATTTGTTGTTAAAGTAGACATATTAAAGTATGAAATATCAAAATTACAACATTCTACAACAAACAAAAGTATTTTTAAAATATTACGACATCCTTGCCGCCACCTTACGAAGTTTTTCCTATACTTTGTTTACAAAAATGCAAAAATCTCGAAAATTTCTCAAAAAACTCATTGATTTTAATATTTGTTGTCGAAGTAGACATATTAAAGTATGAAATATCAAAATTACAACATTCTACAACAAACAAAAGTATTTTGAATAAAATTTACAACTTTGGGATTATTCTTTGTTCCTCATTACAGGCCTATAATATTTTAAGGCTTTTGTTTTGATTATCAACTCTATATAAATCTATATTTAAAAGTTTTTTGAAAATTCCACACAACACCAGAAAAAAAAGTATTGTCATGATATTGCATTATATATATATATATATATATATATATATTTTATTCATATATATATATTATTATTAGGTTGTCAAATATCTCCCTTCCGCTTTTTTGCTATTGGTTTATAATACAAAAAGGCGGAAGGGAGATATTTGACAACCTAATATTTATATATATATATATATATATATATATATATATATATATATATATATATATATTGTATCATTCTGAATTTGATATTGACATATGTATTAACAAAGTCTAGTAATCGGGCATAACATCAATAAAAAAACATGAATTTCTTTCAAAAATTTATGTAAAATCCATACGTTTCGGCTATAATCCCAACCTTCATTCAGTGGAAACTAAAAATAAAATTAAAAACTAAAACAATTCTTGGAAAAAATATTTTTTTAAAAAGTCTTTTCTCCATTATATCTTCAACACACTATCTATTTTTGATTTTTTAAATTAGTATTTTGTGAAAATATTGTGTAATTTCAAGTTAATGTTTATTATACATAGTGTAGTGCATTACCATATCCGAATACCATGGATTACTAAAGTTTTCCAAATTAACACTAAGATCAACTAATTGTAAGTACTATTTACTCTTTTTATTTTTTCTTTTCACTCCAATTCAATTGTTTTAGTTTTTAATTTTATTTTTAGTTTCCACTGAATGAAGGCTAGGATTATAGCCGAAACGTATGGATTTAAAATAAATTTTTGAAAGAAATTCATGTTTTTTTATTGATGTTATGCCCAATTACTAGACTCTGTTAATATATACATATATTAGGTTGCCAAATATCTCCCTTCCGCCTTTTTGTATTATAAACCAAGAGCAAAAAAGCGGAAGGGAGATATTTGACAACCTAATATATATATATATATATATATATTATATATATATATATATATATATATATATATTTTTTTTTTATTATATATGTATATTTTGGCCTTGTATATTTTTGCTCCAATAGTGTTTTATGCTTAGCGATAAGATTAAAACCAAAATTTGAAGGCAACTAAATTTTATCAATTATTTTATTTTGGTACTTAACGATTAAAGTTAAAGACAAAAATAAATAACAATTTTTTTCAACAGAAAATCAGTCTGCAATGGTTATTATAAATACATCGATTTAAATGTGTTTTTTTTTTAAATTAAATATTTTTGGCTATTTTTTATAACGTTTTTGCTAAGACTCTTCTTGATGTATTTGTACAGAAGACAAAAGTTGTTGGAGAGAATAGTGATTTTAATAAAAAAAATATTGAAAATTATATAATTGTATATTTTTGTAGAAAAGGGTGAAAATTTAAGGTTTATTGTATTTTTAACTTCTCGTAGGGTAGTTATAGTAATGGGCCGAAAATCGAAAATGAAAATTTTTGCATTTCTCGACGTTTTGAAGGTTCCTGAACATTTTTAAGGCATACTTCAGAAAAAATGAATATGTGCGGATAAAAAAATTTCTGTCGACGTTCTCGGGCGCACGGATCAACCGATTTGAATGGTTTAAAAAAACATTCGATTGCTATTAATAGGGAGATGTGCTGATTAGTTCGTAATGACGGTGAATTGAGTGAAAAGTGGTTATTAGATTTTGGCAAAGGTAGGCCCAACGGTTTTGGAGATACAGAGCTAAATGTAAAAAAATGGCAGCACTAAGCGTCCGATTTAAATGATACAAAGAACTTTCTGCTTGTTTCAACAAAATAATTGCTTTTTAAAAAAAAAAATTATTTTCTAATTTTTTTTAAAAAATATTTTTGTAATTTTGGTTTGAAAATTCAAAAAATTACCCAGGCTAAGCACAGTCTAAGCGCCGCTCTGGTACAAATGTTCATCCAAGTGCGTTTATACTGTTTATCTACGGGGCACTTTTCCAATTTTGTGAAAACTATTGAAAAATGTGAAAATGCCGCCAAGCTAAGCACAGTATAAGTGAAAATGTTGCACAGAATTATTTGCAAATGCGTTTAGACTGTGACTATACGGGAGCTATATTTTCAATTTTGTGCAAAATTTAGGCAACTATTTTTTTTTCAAATTGAATTTGAAATGAAATGACAATTGTTAATGTAGAATTGATTTATGATTTACATTTGATTTGCTCAGATATAACAAACAAGATAGCAAAAATAGTGAAAGTTACAGTATTTGTTATTAACATTTAAAATTTCTCGAATATTTCATTACGGTACGGAAAGTTCCAGCAATTTGCCTCAAGGCACGATGTCATACACCACTTGTTTTTATTTCAAATACTTTATTACAAAATCAAATTTACAAAAACATGCATAAAATATATATAAAACATGCAATATTTACAAAATTATTTTACAATCACAGCACAGCATTTTTAAATAAATACATTATTATTACAATTATTAATTATTAATAAACGACTTTGCTAAATTTGCAATCCGGGCAGCCAATAATCAGCACATCAGCAACATCGTTTGGCATTGATATAAATTGTGGTGTGCGGGAGCAATTTGCTGAATGCATGTTGACATTCATCCAAATTTCAGATTCTAAGTCTTTTATGTTTCCTTTTCGTAACCTAAAGTAAATAAATAATGGAATAATAGAGTCTAAAGAAGTTTTACTTCAAAAATTTTATATTGTATCTTTTATGGCATGTGGGGTATCATTTGAAAGGTAATAGAATAAGCTTTACATATATATATATATATATATATTACCGTAGTCCACATTTGCATATAATCAATCCTTCAGAATCATTTCCTATTGCATTTTTTAAGCAGCACGGACACGTCACTAAATCAGACATATCTATTTCCAAATGTTCAAAAAAGTCATCGAAGTCTCTATCTTGAACTCTGAAATAAAAATTTACATTTTATTTATTAACTTGAAAATGAAAATTTTTTATATATATTTACGTTTCAGAGGTTTCTGAACATTTTGGCCTCAGAAAAAATGTATGTATGTGTTTGTGTGTGCGGATACAAATTTTCGTCGACGATTTCGGGAACACGGATGCCATTATATTGGATAGGGTTATTTTTTTTGCAAAATTTTGTTAGAAAACTTGAAAATCTAAAAATGCACTTAAGAATTTAATATTATTTTCAAAAACGTATAATATTATATTTAAGTTGAAACGAGTTTTTTGGTAATTTATGCAAATTCAAAAAAGTGTGACCAAAAAATGTCAAGTGAAGCAATTTGAATAATTCAAAAAACATTCGATTCGTATTGGAAAGGAGACGTGCTGATTAGTTTTTGGCGAAGGCAGGTCTAGCCGTTTCGAAGATACGGGGCAAAAAGTGCCGAAAACGGTAACTCAGTTTTTAAGAGAACGGAGCGTCCGATTTGAATAATTCAAAAAACATTCGATTCGTATTGATAAGGAGACGTGCTGATTAGTTTTTGGCGAAGGCAGGTCCAGCCGTTCCAAAGATACGGGGCAAAAAGTGCCGAAAACGGTAACTCAGTTTTTAAGAGAACGGAGCGTCCGATTTGAATAATTCAAAAAACATTTTACATGTATTAACAAGATGAAGAACTGTTCAAATTTTTGGAAAGGCAGGTCTAGCAATTTCGGAGATCTAATAAAAAAAAGTGTAAAAAATGCCATTTGTGGGTCAAAAATGATCATTAGACATATGCATATCAAATTATCAGATATTTTATAGAGATTTTAATAATAAGTATAAATTTTGTTTACATTCCTATGGGTTCCGCATCAATGTTTACGCGTTAGACGCGGCGCTTACGCGCTTCGATATTTCGTCTTTGTGCAGTTAAAGCAGTATGATTGCTTTGAAAAAAAGTTCAGAATTTCCAAAATATTCCAAAATGCACATTTGTTCAAAAAGTCTTTTGTCAACAATTTAGAGTTTCTCAAAAATCTAATTTTTCAGAGTAAATTTTTTCCAAAAATGTTAATCTTTTTAAAAAAAATAATTTTTGGTACACGGGAGGTTCCAGCAATTTGCCTTAAGGCCCGCTAGTTTTCTTTTCAGTCTAATATAATTGTATTTATATTATTTCAACTTATTATTACGTTGTATTATCCAGTAGAGACAATTCTTGCAAAATTTCATCCTCAGTCTTCAAATCGCTTTCTAATTGTGCCAATTCATCAATGAGTATATCGTTTAGAGTATCCTACAATAAACACACATCATTACAAAAACAATCATCATTAACAAAAATTGATTAATAATAAATAACTATGTATGTTTATTTTATACTTTTAGTTCCTCGCATGTTAAGTTCCTGCCACTGTCGAAAGACTTCTGTCTCATTTTCATTAACCGGATTTTACATCTCTGCAAAAAAGATACAAATAATATAATAGATACAAATGATAAATGAACAGAGTCTGTTTTTTCAGTTCTTACAGTTCTAATTATTTGTTGGACTTTTGGAGAACCATGCTTCAATCTGAAGGCTGCATCTTTGGTTTTTAATTTATTAGCGATTTGTACTTCACTCAACGTAGCCATTGTAAGTAAAATATTTTTCTATTTTCAAGATTTTTTGTACAAAAATGTAAAAAAAACTATGGGTGCTAATTGAAGGTTACAAATAGCTTATAATTTTACACACAATTACTTTTTGCTCTCATGAATTTGGTTTTAATATTGTGTGAGCATTTATATTAATTGGTCGAATTTTAATTGTCACATAGGTTAGGTCGAAGCCTGAAATGAAAAACAATATAAATCACATTTAATTTGCACAAACAGTTTAATTATTAAATATTAATTATTATTAACACGTGTAGTTGATTTTGTTAAGCAAAATAACAAAAATTTATATTAGTTTTGTCGAATTTCAACTTACTTGGTGACAAGTACATGCAGGTTAGGTTAAAGTTTTTTAAACAAAAAAACATTATAATTTTTTATTTTATACGATTTTGTGCACAAATGGTTTTTATGTACACGTACACGCAAATATATCTAGTTTTAATATTGTCAAGTGAAATAACACTATTTTACATTAATTTTGTTGAATTTTACACTTTGAATGAAATGTCAAAAAAAATCTTTGCCATTGCACAAATGTATTTATTATGTTAGTTATTAATGCAAAATTAATTTATAATACCGTATGTAACAAAATATTGCCCAATCGAACATTACGTTTAATGATTTACAAATTTATAAACTAATTTCTGTTATAATTTTGTTTCCGCCATTTTTTTGTTTGTTTGACAGTTGAGTGTTGACAGGTTTTACAACTAAAACAAATTAATAACACATATATTAAATTAAATGAAACATATTTAATATTAATATATATATATATATATATATATATATATTAAATTTATACATTAATTCATTTATTTAATATTTTATAAATACCTTTAATTTTTATCATGTTGGCGTTTACCGCAAGATGACACCTTGTGCATGCAAGAATTTAATATTAAAAATATTAAATATAAACAAAAATAAAATAATTTTGTATATTTAAATCGATATATGTATATAAATATTAACTTAAATGCATGAGTTACATAATATTTTATAATGAATTATGAATTTGAATTACGCGCCATTTTTTTTGACAGTTCCAACTAAAAAGTTTTTACAACAAATATTTCACAAAAATAATAACTAAACCTATATTATTTTATATATATATATATATATATATATATATATATATATATATATTATTATATATATATATATATATATATACATATAAATGCAAATCTACGTATGAATATTTATTCATCTAATATATTAAATTTATAATTTATAATTTTTTAACTTTTCCCGTAGGGCAAGTTATAGTAATCGCAAAAAAAAAACGAAAATGAAAATTTTTATATATCTTTACGTTTCAAAACCTTCTGAACATTTTGGCATACCTTAGAAAAAATGGATGTATGTGTGTGTGTGTGTATGTATTTTTTGGACCAAAAATTTTTTTTCCAAAAATTTTTTGACTAAAATTTTTTGGACCAAAACTTTTTTGACCAAAATTTTTTTGATCTAAAATTTTTTTCCCAAAAATTTTTTCCCAAATTTTTTTTCCCAAAAATTTTTTTCCCAAAATTTTTTTCCCAAAAATTTATTTCCAAGAATTTTTTGACCAAAAATTTTTTTTCCAAAAATTTTCTTGAACTAAAATTTTTTTTCCAAAAATTTTTTTCCCAAAATTTTTTTGACCAAAAATTTTTTTTCCAAAAATTTTCTTGAACTAAAATTTTTTTCCCAAAAATTTTTTTGACCAAAATTTTTTTGTCCAAAAATTTTGTCCCAAAAATTTTTTTGACCAAAAATTTTTTTCCCAAAAATTTTTTCCCAAAATTTATTTCCCAAAAATTTTTTTCCCAAATATTTTTTTCCCGAAATTTTTTTCCCAAAAATTTTTTTCACAAATTTTTTTCCCCAAAAATTTTTTCCCAAAATTTTTTTTCCCAAAAATTTTTTTTCCAAAATTTTTTTGACCAAAAATTTTTTTCCCAAAATTTTTTTCCCAAAAATTTTTTTCCCGAAATTTTTTTCCCAAAAATTTTTTTCCCAAAAATTTTTTTGACCAAAAATTTTTTTCCCTAAAATTTTTTTCCCAAAATTTTTTTCCCAAAAATTTTTTTCCCAAAAATTTTTTTGACCAAAAATTTTTTTCTCAAAAATTTTTTTCCGTAAATTTTTTGGACCAAAAATTTTATTCCCAAAATTTTTTGGACCAAAATTTTTTTCCCAGATTTTTTTTGACTAAAATTTTTTTTGACCAAAATTTTTTTGATCAAATTTTTTTTGACCAAAAATTTTTTTCCCAAAAATTTTTTTCCCAAATTTTTTTTCCCAAAAATTTTTTTGACCAAAATTTTTTCAACCAAAAATTTTTTCCCTGATTTTTTTGACCAAAATTTTTTTAACCAAAATTTTTTTCCTAAAAATTTTTTTCCCAAATTTTTTTTCCCAAACATTTTTTTCCCAAAATTTTTTTCCCAAAATTTTTTTTCCCAAAATTTTTTTCCCAAAATTTTTTTGACCAAAAATTTTTTTCCCAAAATTTTTTCACCCAAATTTTTTTGACCAAAATTTTTTTTGACCAAAATTTTTTGTCCGAAAATTTTGTCCCAAAAATTTTTTTGACCAAAAATTTTTTTCCCAAAAATTTTTTCCCAAAATTTTTTTCCCAAAATTTTTTTTCCCAAAAATTTTTTTCCCAAAAATTTTTTTTTTTTTCCAAAAATTTTTTTGACCTAATATTTTTTTCCCAAAAATTTTTTTTCTAAAAATTTTTTTAACCAAAATTTTTTTGACCAACATTTTTTTGACCAAAAATTTTTTGTCCAAAAATTTTTTCCCAAAAATTTTTTTCCAAAAATTTTTTCCTAAAAATTTTTTTGACCAAAAATTTTTTTCCCAAAAATTTTTTTCCCAAAATTTTCTTCCCAAAATTTTTTTCCCAAAATTTTTTGGAACAAAAATTTTTTTCCCAAAATTTTTTGACCAAAAAAATTTTTTTTTTTCCAAAATCTTTATTTACCAAATTGATATTTTTCCATCGGCGCCGTCCTTAATTGTAATTAAAAGCGTTAAATTCTATAATATTTATCTAAATTTGTCATTATATTTCAAGTAGTATTTAACAAGTATATATCGAAATTGCGCATAAAATAGATGGCATAACATTAAAAGTGATTATAAAAATCATTGCAACAATCGATGTATAAATTTATACATTATAAAAAAATGAAATATAGAAACTGACCCCGCTCGGGGATTCGAACTCGAAACCCGACGCAACAACTACCGCCTACCTATGCAATCGAACGATTTAACGATCTCGACCACTGGCGTATCTTGTAATTGCAAACAATTATATTTATATTAAACAATTATAATTGTATAACTTGCAGTTTTAGACATATCGAGATGGCTATGGCGCACGCTTCGAAATACTGCCAGTTCGACTACGAGACGTCGACCCCAACAGCCGTTTCTTCGGGCGCGTAAGAAAGAGACTCGATTGAGCACACTCGAGAGCTGATACTGACTTGATTTGGGAAGAGAGCTGAAGTATACGACCCGGAAGTGCAAGAGTGTAGTGAAATTTAAAGTTATTAGAAGCTAGTTTATTTTGAAGAATATTTCTTAAGTATTATTACAAGAAGATAAAGAAAATCTATAGTCAGGTGGGTGTCCCCAACACAGAGTTTCCTAGGCATAAGCCTAGGAAATCTGTCAAAAGGCTTGAAATCAAAAGTAACAAACAAACAATGGTACGAAGTAAAAAGAATAAAAAAGAAAACAGGTACCAGTCACTTACTGACCGAAGTGATATGGATACCGACCTCGAACTAGAAGAATTTACAAAGGTTAAGTCAAGAAAGCGTGGCCAAAAGCAAGAAACAATGGAAATCATACAAGGGAATAATGACACGAAACCTATAGAAGTAAAGGTACCACCGATAATAGTAAAACATAACTTAGATCTCAGGGCCATAAACTACATCCGAGATGTTACGAAAGTTAATTTTACCATACAATATATTAAAACGCATACCCATAAAATATATACTAAGACACTAGTAGATCATAACAAGATAAAGAGTACATTAAGAGATTGCAGTTACCAATTTTATACGTATTCCACTGGAGAAACAACAAAGAAAATCACACTAACAGGCTTACATCCAGCAATTACTGAGTTAGAGGTATTTGAATTACTGAGTGTACGACGTATTCTTGTGCAAAAGGTCATACAATTAAAGAAAACCTATTCTGATGGACAAAAACATAATCTACCAATTTATATAATTATGCTTGACAAATCGCAAGACATGTCAAAAGTAAAAGAAATAACGAACTTAAATGGTCACATTATTAAATGGGAAATGTATAAGCCAAATTTCAAAATCCTACAATGTCATAAATGTTTAAGTTTTGGACATACGTCTTACTCGTGTGATATGAAATATAGATGCATTAAATGTACAAAAGCACATTCTCCTGGCTGCTGCCAAAAATTATCAGAAGAAAAGCCCCAGTGCGTTAACTGTAAAGACTATCACCCAGCAAACTATTCAAAGTGTACATCCTTACTGAATTACAAGGCTAAAAAACAACAGATTCATGCAGCCCTTGAACCTAAACCTATGACAAGAAGCTATTCTGAAACGCTGAAGCCGAGAGATGCCAGACACACTGTCCAGATGGAACTACCAAAATTCCAAGCTATTCCTGAACAAAGAAGTATACCATCAACTTCATCGAATCAAGATCCTGATTTTAACTCCACCGAGGGCATTTTTGCTGCAATAAGACAAATCAAGTTGCTTTTTTCAGATCCTGAGGTAATAAAAATTTTCAGGGAACTTTATGCACTTACAAAGACTATAAATACTAACATGACATACAATGAAAAATATACTACAATTTTAAACTTTCTTACTAAATGCCCATAATTGACAAGTATGGTATAAAAATAATGTTTTTCAATTCAAATGGAATAAAAAATAACATTGATGAACTCAGACAAACGATCGTTACAATGGACTTAGACATCGTATTAATAAATGAGACTCACTTAAAACCCACTGACAAATTATACATGAACGACTACAAAATATACCGGAATGACAGAAACATGACAGGATGGGGTGGTACAGCAATATTTATAAAAGCTTGTATCAGACATGAAGAATTACCGT